CCTAGTATAGACCACTCCCTTGGGGAGCTAACACTATTGATTTTAGATTGAGTGTGAAACGTTATTAATGCTCTAATGAAAAATAAAACATTAAATATCTTGCCATTATAATCTAGACTCTTTAAATTATGCGTAGGGCCTTATTTTTAAAGATCTAATTACAATAAACATTTAATATTTTAATTTTCATGAGACAACAATTCTTGTAATATTAAGACTCTTCAAATCATGCGTGGGGCCTTATTTTTGAAGATCTAATTACAATGGTGTTAATAACGAAGGCTATGGGGCAATGTATAAAAATCCCCGTTCCCACTCAATTTTTAATTATTCATAATTAGGGTTTTCAATTTATTCAAATACATGATATGATGCATGCAAAATGCCTTGATTTTAATCCAATTAAATTTAGAAAATATTTGAACTTTAAACGATTCACTAATATTTAATTTGAAGCACAATTTAAAAATAATTTACAAAAATAATTTTTCGTTTCCCAATAAGTGCCCTCAAATTGCCCTCAAATTAATTAGTAATCAGATCCACTTAATTTTCATAATTTAATTAATATAAATCAAGTCATTTAATTAAAATATCATGGATCCAATGTATGAACAATAAATAATCAGTATTAAATTATTCCATGCATCACATATATAATTAAACCACAGATAAAGCAAATTAAATGGCCAATGGACTTAGCTTTTAACATTTAAAAACTATTCTTGCTGTGCGGGCGTCCTTCAACAATCTATAAACATCCATAGGAAGCTTGTACGCGTTAGGAGAAGTAAAATACTGCTTGAAATGAACCCCGAGGACCCCACACGCGCTCACACGCGCCTGGAGCAAGCAGAAGGACAACACACGAGCCCCCACGCGCTCCCACGCGCCTGGGACGCGTGGGACGCTCCCCCACACGCTGGCACGAGCCAAGGGCCCATGGGACCCGCCTGCACGCGCCTGCACGCGCGTGGAGCAGTGTGGCTTTGGTTGGGGCGTGCATCTCACGCACCAGCATGTTCTTTAAGTCCTTTTTCCTGGCGCGTGCTCCTTACGCGCCAGGCTCACCATCCCTGCGCCACATGTGATTCTAGCCTCCTCCGACGCCTCTTCTCGCCGCCGGCGAAACTCCGGTCACTGGAAAAACGCCGAATAATTCCAGAAAAATCAAAAAAATTCCCAGAAAATTAAATTAAGCCTCAAAAAATTCCAGAAAAATTCCAAAAAATTCGAAAAAATTCCAGAAAATTACTGAAGCATAATTTAACCCTTTTGGACCTTCTTGAAGCTTCATAGCATCCTTTGATGAATATTACATGGCTTTAAAAATATTTACAACTTGAAATACAATGGAAAAAATAAATTACATCATTGAACTTTCAAACGGCTAAATCAAAGCCTTAATTACATTCATCCAAAGATAAAATTACATTCAATGAGCCTATAAGCTTCATCCATGGCCCAAACACAAATCATCATCCATTCACAATTTTACATACATCATTATCTATCAATATATATCAACATATTATATCATACACCAACATACATCAATAAAAAATATATATGAATATAATTTTGGATCCATGAATGATGAATTTTGATAAAAACATGATCTCTAGTAATGAATCAAACCATGCTCTGATACCACTGTTGGGAAACGTGTAAGTTTTAAAAACTTTTCGAGGGATTTTAATTCATAGATCTTGATTCATCACATAGAGACAAGTTTTATGCAAAAATAAAACATGATGTATCATTCAATTAAAAGATTGAATACTTACATCAAGGTTTGAGTAAACCTTGGATCTCTCCTCTAAAGTGAATGTTCTCACTTATTGTAAATCCCTTTTGCTAGACACCTTTTCCATGTACTCCATCTTCTTGGTAATGGTCTTGCCTTTAGGAATCACTCATAAGCCTCCATGAATGACCTTGAATATTAGGCTTGTGGGAGCCTCTATTAGTGAGAACACTAACCCTAATTTTCTAGAGAGAGAAAATAGCTTCCTTTTTCCTTTTTCCAAAAATCACCCCTAAAATATACATAGACCATGTATATTTATAGGCAACATAAAAATAAAGAAAAGGAAACAACAAATCCTTCTCAATCTCTAATTCATATGTCTCAAATCTAATATGATTCCAATATCAAGTTGGGTTATGAGTGAGAATCCATTGGGCCTATTATTTTATTAGCTACAATGAATTAATAATTGGCCCGGTCCATGGACCCAATTCAATTAATTCATAAATTAATTTCTACTCCACTAAAAGAAATTAATTGAACTCCAATTAAATAATAAATAACCTCTAAGTCAATATTACACTTTGACCCCTCTATTCTTAATTAGTTATCGGATAAATAAAGCCATCAATCCGACTACTTAATTAGTATATTTATTTTGGTACCATTGATTATTTCTGGCTCGATCACAATAAAACATTTGTTTGACAAAAATAATAATTTAAATAAATAAATATATAATAAATCATTTTGTCTAAAAACACACGAAGGCCTTCGAATTTACTTTGTGATCAACCATAATCAATACAAAATAAATACAAGTAACAATGATACAAATATTAAAAATATAACTCTCTAACTATTAATTACATAATTACCCAAAGTGTCGGTCTAAGGATCCCGAAAAATCCGCCGAACAAATCAAAGTAATTATTAATTAATAAAAGAGTCTATAATTTTCTCATGCTTAAGAGTCAAATGCCATGATGGTGATAGGGAGCAATTGCATACGACGGCTCTCGCAATATATCTCAACCTAACGCGGATCAAGTTCAAATCTTAATTAATTATGAGTCCATCCATAATTACCGACTATGAATCATTTATGATTACTATTTATATATCATGCATTGATTGCCATTACATACATATATATAAATATTTCTTATAATCAAATGGACACTATCAATTCTATAATGACTCGAAATATAATACATTGAATTCACCAATTGTATAAAACATAAATATTTCAGAAACGTCAGGAACATATGTCACTTTAATCCAAACAGAAATTTGCTATGCCAGGGCATATAAATCCTAACACAAAGAACCAACCATATTTATGCATTGGAACGATGGTTACAAGGCTAATTTATTTGTGAGCTAATATCAAAAGTAATCATTATAGAACTTATATAATTTGTATGAATACAAAAACATGTGTCTCACCATCCACTGACAACAATGAAAACCATTTATCAAATCAAAATTACAATTAACCAATTGAATTGTTGTATGGTTTTCAAATGGCATCTTAGTATTTACAGTGGTCACTAAAGATAATTTTCGAGAAGACACTCAAGTTGTTGTTGTTGTTTTTTTTAATTTTTATTTTATTTTTCTCTCTCTCTCTCTCTCTCTCACTAAATTTCTATAAAATTCTTATATAATTTTCCAGAAGACGCTTTTCACGTGTTTTTTTTATAGCATTTTTTAATATAATAACTCTAGAATATTTTTTTGCTTTTACAACTTTTGACATATGAATTATATAACACATGGCTCCACAGAATTATTTACATTTACGTCTCTTTTCTATAAAATATCTAGAATAAAATGGGACAGTTAGCAGAGTATGAATAAATAATTATAATCTTAAAAAAAAAAAAAGAGGGTATTGACATTCATTTAACTTTTGTTGAAGATTTAGAAAAAAGAAAAAAAGAAAAAAAAAAAGAAAAGAAAAGAAAAGAAAAAGTGATAGTGAAATGAATTAATTATTCCTCTGGTTTATATTGGAATGAAGAAAAGCCGACTAATGTAAAATTTATATCTCATAAATCGTACATCTAAATATTGCAAATAATATATGCACGGAAATCTTATAAAATAAGGATTCTGGAAATATAAGATTTGTTTAACAAAACTTCATAACCAAAGACAAATAGACAATCTAAACATCTACTATAATAATCTTATTTTATTTTATTTTTAAAAAATACTTAGAGTTATTTGTAAGAAATTTTTTAGAATTAATCATTTTCATATGGAACATAACATATAAAAAAATAGCCCCAATAGATCTTAATCACATACATCATTTTCATCTCTAAAATTATAAAAAAACAATTTGGTAGAACAGTTTTTAATTAGAGGGAAGGTCCTGTAATAAAAATTTGAAAAACTAATTTTAATTCTACTTGGATTTGTTTTGAGTTTCCCATCTCCCTATTCATGAATTTTGTTGATGGGAAACTCAAAAAGAGTCACGTCAATGAGTAGGAGGCAAAACATTCTCTAAAATCTGAAAAAAAAAAAAAAAAAAAAAAAAAAAAAAATTCATAAATTGAATCATTTAAGATTTGTTTTTTTTACTCCTTGAAAATAATGCACGAGATTGAGATTTTTAGATCGATTAATTGAAAATTTTGCTTCCACTAATTATATACACACAAATCATTTGAAGATTATTATTAATTTTTTTTTCATAGAAAGAATGTTAAGACTTGAGAGAGAAGAGGAGGATATAAAGCTCAAATACAGACCCTAAAAAACCGAAAAGCAATCCAACTAATCAAAAAATACGACACTTGTCATTTGAAGTTGAAATATTAATCATTGTTCTTATGTGGATATTATTGATTCATAATTTAATACAATGGCTATGGTATTGGCTGTCAGTGACGGATCTAGAAATTTTTGTGAGGGGGGCAGTCTTTTAATTTGTGAGGCCAAATTTATATAGTGAGCCCATTTTTTATAATTTCAATGGAGTTTAAGCTATAAAAATAAAAATATAAAAAATCCAGTGGGGACAGATGGTACTTTGCTAGGTCCGTTCCTGTTGACTGTTGACATTAAGTGGAAGGGAAAGATGCCATGAATCAATCATGGACATACGTGGGAACTAAGGAGGGCCACACTGTAAATTAGCTTCTTTTTTCTTTCTCTTTTTTTTTTTTTTTTTTTTTAACAACAAAGCAAAAGTAACATGAAGCACAGAGCCAAAAAGGCACACAAACAACCTCAACTACCAAGGCAACCCATAGAACACTTGATTGTTAAATGGATAAGATCTAGAGAGCATTGTTATCTCATGCGCTAACGAATTTGCAGCTCGACGAACATGAGTGACCCGAGCAACAAGAACTGATTTCAAAAGAAGTTGAATGTTATGAACAAGAACCGTAATTGCTGTAGGGTAAGGGCGGATACCCATCACAACCTCGCATAAGATGAGAGAATCATTCTCTAAACATAAATTGTGAAAGCCAAAATCACGAGCCCAAAATAAAGCATCCTTTATGACAAAGGCTTCAACAGAAAGGGCTAAAGAAGCTAAAAAAGACCTTAGCATGACCACGCGCAAAACAACTCCCGAATGGCCTTTGAAAACAAGACCACCCCCAGCCCATCTTTTACTGGCTAAGAAGGTGGCGTCCATATTACATTTAATTGAACCTGCTTCCGAAGGAGACCACACAACATAATTAGAGAGGAGCATGGGAGAGCAATGCCGATAGCTAAGCTGTGGAAACTGATTGGCATCACGAAACTCCCAAAAAGCTGAAACAACTGAAGAAACAATCAGCTGGGGGCAAGGAAACCTACCATGAAAAACCAAGTTGTTCCGCGCTTTCCAAATTTCCTATGCAACAAAAGAGGCCATACTACTAACATCAACCCCTTGATTACACACAGTAATCCACCACTCATCAAAAGAATGGATACCCCAAGACCGACAGTCCAAACGAAGCGGAGAAAGTTTCCAAACTTGGATAGACATCGAGCAGCGGAAAAGCAAGTGTTCTAATGTTTCAGGATCCTCTCCACAAAAAGAACAACAATCCTCTTCAGATAACCCACGATGCTTCAATGCAGCCAGTGTTGGGAGCACCCCATGAACACATTGCCAAAGAAAATACTTAACCTTTGGGAGGCATTGACATTTCCAAATAAAAGTCAAGCACTTAGGATTTACAAAAGAACGATTTACCGGATGATCAGAAAGAGAAAAAGCCACATGGTACGCCGATTTAACAGAAAAGTTTCCATGATTAGTGAACGCCCAAACTTGGCGATCCACACAACCTCGCAAACTAAATGAAATACTCCAAATAGCATGCACAACATCAGCATGAAACAGCTGAAAGAGGAGAGGGAGGTTCTATAAATGAGTCGTGGGATCAATAAGATCAACAACTTTTTGAACAGCAAGAGAGGGACGCGGCAAAGAGTCAAAAGATGGCACCCAAAAATCATTCCAAATGCTGATAGATTTACCATCACCCACAATCCGTTTAAGCCCTTTTTTTAAGGATAGGCTTTGCTATCATACCCCCAAATTTCCGAATGTGGGTTGGCCAGGCCCACGCCCGAATACTCGAGGATATCAAAACAAATTGATAATAAACGAACACAGAGTACAAAAGAATAAAGAAGAATAAATAAAATGCTGACAAGAAACTAAAATGATAATCTAATAATAAACCTCATAATATATTTCCATTAATTAATAAACTCTTCTGATACAACTGATCCTCCAAAATACAACTTGGGAATCCATACTGTGTGGACCCCTAGAAAATCCAAACTAAACAAATGACAGTAATCTGAAACAGGAAACTGAATCATAAAGGAACTCCTATTTAGCATCGGAAGAATGAAGTAAACTGATCCCCGCTCAGCACGAACAACCTCTACTCGTGACGAACACCTGAAAAATAATGGTGGGTCAGGCCCACAAACAAGTTCTACTTTACTACAGTCCAAGCAGAGATCCGATACACGTATACATCCTAGTCAATCCAACAGTAACTAGTAGTCCGTATATATATATATACACACTAAAGGAACCTCACTAGACTATAGGGTTGTCTCAACCTGAATAGTAGGCAACATGCAAAACGCACATATAGTGGGCATGAGTACCTAGACCTACCAGGGTACACAACTACACTATATCTAGCTACACATCCCTGGCGATATACGCGCCCTAACCATTGATCCTGAGACTTAAGCTCATATCATGGCACCATACTTATATATATATATAATCTAGTAACTATCCTATCCAGTATAAATTAATCCTCCATAAGTCATTCAACTTGTTCAGCTGACCTGACTTTAATATAAGTAGGACTTAACATTTTAGTTAATCAATTCCCTTATATAATAAATTAATCCTCCATAAGTCATTCAACTTGTTCAGCTGACCTGACTTAAATATAAGTAGGACTTAACATTTTAGTTAATCCATTCCCTTATATAAAATAGGTAGGACTTAACTGATAAGTTAATTCATCCCTAGAATACCACCGTCCCATACCGGTGCATTAAACCACACAATCCAACAATTGATGTAACAATTAAGGAAATACATCAAACATTCCATAAATAACTATGATAAATATGATATCAAGTTATCACATAATAGGAATGACTTATTATTTCTTTAAACTTCCTATATCATATGTCCTACACAAACTGAATCTTATACATGATGATATTTTATTATACCGTTAAATAATGATTCTCTATATCCAATTCATCCTACACATTTAATCTCAATTGCTAAAATATTTTAAAAGATTAAATCCATTCGTTTGTTTAAAACATTCAAATAGCAAGTATCATTATGATTGAGTCTATTTAAATTTATTAAAATCCAAACCTAGTCCCTATTTAATGTTCAGGAATCCTAGGCATGTTTCTACGTTCCATCATTCCACAGATATAAAAAATACATAATTTAAACATGTAAAAATTCACATAAAAAATCAAATCAAAATCATACATTTTATCAATTCATAACACAAGAACAGATATGAACCAATTTCATAAAACCTATATTCTAACCCAATTAAACATGCATAATTATTTAATTTTATGTGTTTAATGAATTCTGGAATTTCCTAGGCATGTACAGAAACACGAATCAAAGGGAAAGAGATAGAAGAAGAACTTGCCTTAAACTTTCGGATTGAAAGTTAAACTTGTTCTTCCTTGATCTTCTCTCTAAAGGGTTTTCTCCTCCTTCCTTCCTCTTTCTCCTTCTCTCTCTAACTCTCTCTCTCTAGAATATATTACATGATATATTTTCACTTCTTTTTCAACCTATATTTGTGTGTTTATAGGCTAAATAATAACCCTATTCCTTTTCCCAATCCCAATCCAAGTCAACTTAATAAAGAAAAATAAAAATGAAAATATTAAAAAGGTAACTTAAAATATGTTACGTATATAATCTATGTATATCCTTATTAATTAAATAAAATATATACATTAAATTATTTATTAATACTAAAGTTACCATAATATTAAAAGGTAACTTAAAATATGTTACGTATATAATCTATCTATATCCTCATTAAATAAATAAAATATATACATCAGATTATTTATTTATACTAAAGTTACCATAATATTAAAAAGGTAACTTAAAACATGTTACGTATCCTTATTATATAAATATATAAAATATATACATCAAATTATTTATTAATACTAAAGTTACTATAATATTAATAAATTACTTTCCTTTTTATATATATGTATATACATATATATCTATATATATACATATAGAACTATCCTTGGGTAATTATCCATACCCATCCAACCTCCTATCCAAGTAGTCCATGGGACCCAATTAGTTAGCCCATTACCACTAACCATAACCATAAAATAAAATAAAATAAAATATTTAATCATTTAATTTACAATTAATTACAATTAATCAAATACATCATTTAAGCACACAATCTAATTAAACAAATAATACAAATAATACCTAGACAAAATACAAATAACACATAAATAAGTAGCCAATTAATCAAGTAACACTTAATTCAATTAAACACATAAGCAATTAGTCAAATAATCAATTGAACAATTAAAAAATACAATAAAAATAAATAAATAAATACCGAGACTATCCTTTTAAAATTAGGGGTATTACATTCTTCCCCCCTAACAAAAGGAATTCTGTCCTCGGAATTCGCCCTTACTTCCTTCCATTATTCTTCCATTATGCTTGGAAACTGTGAGCGAAAAACATCCTCCTATTCCCAAGTAAACGCAACCTCACTATAAGGGCTCCACTTAACTCCAATATACCAAGTGGTAGACAGGGTTCCTATATTTTAAGAAACACAATAATCATACGATGCGTAGGTTGTATCAAATAACAACGTAATCCTCCCATGTCGACAAGGGAATGATCTACATACCTTCAAGTGCCATAGAATATACGCACAAACTCCTATGCACCCAGTGCTAATAATTTGGTAACGCTAATTCAGAGGCGACTGCCTCAATTGCAAAACACAATCTTCTAAAAGTCAATGTAATAAGTAAAATTTACCTTTCTCCAAAAATCGCCTTCTTCCTACATAGAAAACAGAACGAGCAAACTACTCCCTGATAGAAAAACTCTAGTATACGAGTTCAACTATTTACAACATCCTACTGTTACCTCCCAACCGCGCGTAGTTCAATACAAAGGGAAGTATCTCTTTCCGACATATTTTAAATGAAGTCAAGGTCTGATTGTACAACCCATACTTCCATTTCCAACCAACAAATGAGAGGTATGCATTGTAAAATATACAAAACCTCCAAAGTTGTCACACTAACCTCCTTGTGCCAACAATATCACAGATAAAATTTCGACAAGTGAAGTAAACACTTCCAACTGTCCATGAAAATCTAGGATATACACCTCAAACATATCCTTTATGATCTAATTTAATCTCTCGATTAATTCCTCCGTCTATAGATATGAAGGAGAGCTGTTGCTCCAAAATCTTCATAAAGCTCATTCGAAATAGCACTTTGCATCCACTAATATGGACATTCACATGCTATAACACCACTATCACTGAACTATAGAACTACTATGAAGTTCTAAAATAAGCATCACTCAAATTTATGTCCTCAAGCGATCTTTCTCAATCCACCACTCGGATTCCATATGGAAAATTGAAATTCCAAATCAATGTTGATCCTTCCCACCGACCGTCACTCCTATTTAGTTCAACTTCCATATTTGTTATAGGAAGTGGCTAAAGATTCCTACGATATCCGATGATCAACTTTCCACATTTGTAGCAGGTTTTACACTTAGGACAATTATATATGCATCCTTATCCGTATCTGTTCACCAAAACTGACATTTGATGTTATGATGTACATTCTAACCGTCTGAGCACACCGAGAAAAATTATAAACTTTCCAACTCAGTCGCCCGATCGTCATATCACTATTTACAGAAACTACTAAATCCTCCTCGAGTACCTTAAACTCCATCTGAGTAAGGTAATACCGTCTCCAAGGTCAGCTCCAATATTCAAAGTTGACATTCTCAACTACCGTAGTAATAACAAGTGTTATTATTACATTTGCTATAAATGCATCTGATAACTCAACAACTAACCGAAAGATTTAAATATTCTATTGTTTGTTGAAAGCATCCATTTACATCATTGCTTTCACCAGACGGAACTTGATATAAAGTGTGAATCACCACTGTAATCTATCTAAATCGTCTCGTGATCCATTCTATTTGTATGAACTGAAGTCCTACCAGTTTGAAATAGACAAGAATCAAGCTGACCTAATGTATCAGTCAACCAATATCCCATCCAGAATCCTGACCCTTGTGTAAAATCAGAAATCCCGCAACTAAATCCGTAAAATGCTCTCTCATTTCCACTTTTGTATAGGAAATGGCTGCAAAGGATCTAGTGATCTTTGATGGTCCATCTCTACTATCTAATAAATATTAGGCTTGGAGACAAATCACTATGTCCCTTCTTCTGCCTATCGTGAAGCATCATGTTTCCACCAGGATGAAGAACTAAAAGTTGTGAAACTCAGTCCGTGCATCCTCCATCCAATTTGTCTATAGAAAGTACCGTTAGTCTGGTACCACCAGCTTTCATCTGTACCCAATGTTTAAATTGGAGTATCTTCAAAAGCGAATTCTGTAACTAAATCTATCCACCACTGATCCATAATAAACTTGCCGATATTGAAAATCAATCGGTAATTTCATTTATCAATAGTCAACTATGACTTTAACTCAACAAAAGTCAACAAACTACGACTTTTCCATACATACCATGCACCTCATCTTTATATAAGTGGTTGGTCTCACCATCTTGT